CTCAGCATGACCTGCCACAGCATTGCAAAATCCGCTTTGCTACCGCCTGCCCTGCCCTGTACGTGTTGGACCCTCACAGCACTCACTTGCTGTTCCCTCTCCAGTGTCCGAAGTTGTCTGGAAGGCTTCCTGAGTCTGGGGGTCTGATTCCTGGGTCAGGGTAACTGTGCTCCTGGTGGTGTCTTCCTCTTCCTCCTCCTTTTGGAACCTCTGGCCCTCTGCTTGGGGTCACCTTGGAGTTGCGGCCACTGCTGCACAGGGGTCTCCATCCCAGACTCCACAACCCTCTCGGGAGGCAGTGGTTCCCCTGCCCCCAGGATCTGGTCCAGATCCTTGTAATAGGCACAATAATGTGCCATTTTCCCAGAGCGGGAGCTGCACTCACAGCCCCTAATGTACCCTGCTGCAGCTCCTTGACCTTGGCTCTGACCTGGTCTAAGGTGCGGGAGGTGGTGGCCTTTCTTTGCAAGGCCATCAGCCATTCTGACATAAATGTCAGTGTTCCTCCGCCTGGACTGTGGGGCCTGAAGAGCCTCCTCCTCGGACCAAGAGGGCTTTTATCTCAGGCCCATACCAGGAGGGTGCCCGGCGCTTGGTGCCCTTGGCTTCCTGTGGGACTGTGTCCCTGTAAGGGCCAGGGCATTCTTGGCAGGCTTGTCCCTGGCACATGGCTCCGAGTGGCCCTACCAGGAAGAGCTGAGCAGTCAGGGTCCCGGCTGGAGCTGGCCAGCTGCTAGAATGCTAATCCTGGGTGCCTGTGCCTTTTAAAGATGGTTACAGGCAGGAACAATAAAGTTGAAAGCTGTGGCAGGAGTGTCCACCAGGGCTTCTTCCTGGAGGCCTATATTGTTGACATAAATTCTTCCCCACATCCACACTTAACGCTGTCAACAAAGGCGTTATTCCTCGTAAAACGAGGTTTATTGCCGTCGACACAACTTCTGTGTTCTGTCGACTTACTATTAACAGAATGCAGTGGTAGTGTAGACGCAGTTATAGTTTTGTCAACGAAAGTCCACTTTTGTCCACAAAACTTGTAGTCTAGACACATGACCTTACAATCAGCTGATCATCCACCATGCCCCCCCCCCCATGCACACACCTTTTTTTGTCTCACTGGTTTCAAGAATAGAGTCCTGTATCATATAATTTTGGCCTACTTTCTTTGTTCCTAGATGTATATGTTTACATTTAACTATTTTAAAATGTGTATTCCTTGTTTGTGCCCATTTATCTCTCTGAGTCAATGACTTGTCCTCTTCTTTATTTGCCACCCCCACATCTGCAAACTTTATTATCTTTTGGTTTTTATTTTTTATTTTATTTTTCTAGATCATTGGTAAAATTGTTAAACAGAATAGAGCAGAATAGGACAAAACTGTCCCTCTGGACATCCCTCTAAACATATCTACTTGATGAAGACGCTTTTGCATTTTTAGGCCAGCCTATCAGTTAGTTTTTAAACCATTTATTGTGAGGTATGTTAATTTTATATTGTTCTAATCAATATGTCATGCAGTACCAAGTTAAACACCTTATAGAAGTCTAAGTGTATTATGTCAACACTATTACCTTTAATCAACCATACTTATAATTGCATAAAAAATAAATCAAGTTAATTGGACAGGATCTATTTTCCATAAACCCATGTTCATTTGCATTAATTCCATTACCCTCCTTTAATTTTCGATTAATCAAATCCCATATCAGGTGATTAAATTATTTTGATAAGGTGGAAAAGGAAGCTGTTCACCTACTTTGAGTACTTGTTTTCAGAAAATTGTTTCAGAAAACTAGGAAGGGATTGTCTACAGTTGGCTAGATTAGAATTGCTAGATGGCCAACAAGAGGTGCTGATTATCTGACCATAGGGGTCAGAATGGAACTTGCTTAGAAGAGGAAATTAACTCAAGAAGGAAATTAAGTGAGGGATGGGGTGGGTTATGCAAGAGATCACAGTGTTCCTTTCTAGTTTTATAATCCACAACTTTATGCTAGCCATTTGCTTTTTCTTCTCCTGTGAAACTAAGCTGTAAATGCATTATCTAGTTTAGTTTACGAGAGGTCTGAGACTTGATATGTTAAGCAAGCTGCCTCTTTTGTTCCACTTCAATTTTCACTCTACTTTTAATAAATCTTTTTTGGTTCATATTGCTGTATGGGCAATTTCACATGTGTTCCCAAATAGAACGGAATCCCACGACGTGTAAGGAGAGGTGCCAAAGAGGGAAGAGTTGCTGGAACATATACTACTGTCAGTCTCAGTCTTGGAGTATAGACAGAGATTTCCATTCCCGGGATGACTTGTGTGACTGGCAAGCTGAAGTGAAGGAACAAAGGTGGGAGAAGCTGCAAAAGAAAAGAGGTAATGAGCACTGCAGAAGGGTGGTGTCGTAGTTTTGTTTAACAAAGTACACACTTAGGCTATGCCTAGACTGCAGGCTTCTTTCAGAAGAAGCTTTTCTGGAAGAGCTCTTCTGAAAAAATTTCTTCTGAAAGAGAGAGTCCGCACTGCCAAAGCACATCAAAAAAACGATCTGCCCTTTCGAAAGATAGCGTCCACACTGAATGGATGCTATGTCACATATAAGCTGTGATTACTCTGGACATAGTGGCCACCAGTGCACCTGTGCTTTTTCCTCTTTCCTCTTCTTTTGAAAGAACTCCCTCTTCCCCGTCCACACACGCCTTTTTCCAAAAGAGCTCTTTCGGATAAAGGCTTCTTCCTTATAGAAAGAGGTTTACCAATGTCAGAAAAAACCCTCTATTTTTCAATTTTTTTCAAAAGCATGTGATTGCAATGTGGATATAAATTAAGTTTTTTTTCGGAAAAACGCTTGTTTTTCCAATAAAACTCTGTAGGGTAGACATACCCTGAGTTACATTTGGTAACCTTCTGTATTGCAGTTTGGAGCATTTCTAATATGCAATAAGTAAAATATTAAGAACACTGGAACAACACTGAACAAATTGTTTATTTTAAAGTTCCATTTTGTTGGGCCATTTAAAACAAAGCTTTAAAGTCCTCAAAATGAGAGATTGTTCATCTCAGTGTGCTAATTTGTACCAACCATCTTGTGAAATTGTTCAGAACGTTTTTTAGTCTGTTTCATTTCAGTGTGTTCTCTTATAGTGTATTTATAATTCTGTGAATTATGAGATACATGTAAGTTTCACCCTAGTATACATTTTAATGTCCTGAGATCCTGAAAGCATATACAAGCTGTATTAAGAATAATAATTTATGCCTTGAATATTGTACAGGCAATTTCAAAATATATCAGAATAAACAGCGTGGTTCAGTTTGTAATCCCAATTGTTGTCTAATGATGTCAGATAGTCAGACACTGGTATTCAGGTTGCTGCACAATAGTTTAGAGTATAGCTTGATGCCTCTTTTCAGATGAGCTTGTAAACCAAAATTCTTTCTAACGTTCTTTGTCTGTGCAAATCCAGTGGCATTTCTCAAAACAAATGAGTTTCCTTGCCCTTATAAATATCCTCTTTTGCAGTTACACATTTTGCACAGCTAAACACGGACTTTGAGGCATTTTCCCCTACTTCCCTATCAGATTAAAAAACCCAGTGCAACTCTTCTGTAGGTCGACACCAGTGTAGACATTCTATTTCGAAATAAGCTATTTCAGAATAACTATGCCAGAATAGCTTATTCCAAAATAAATGTGCTGTGTAGATGTAGCCTGAGAAAATAACATTTGTTTAAGTCCACTGGAGGAATATCAGACTGGTGGACTGATTATGCTGAATGCTTTTACAAATGGTGGGGGCTAAAAACTGACAGTTTGAGACAGTATATAAGACTACCTCGCATGTACTTTTCTTTGAACTTCTTATGGGGATTTAAAAAACCTCTCAGGTAATGAGTAGGAGGCTGGCTACTGCATTACAATTGCTGTGCCAGTTGTTATTAGCCATTCATTGTTTATGTAACATGGACTAGAGTCTCAGCTGGCGTAAACCTATATGACCCCAGTGAAGTTAATAGATCTCAAGATTGGGATCTTTAAGTTTATCATTATGTTCTATATCTACAATTATAGAATGGGCCTATGGGCTTACATGCAGCAAATCTAATTTTCCATTACTGATTTGTGATCTTTCCTTTTATTATCTACTTGGTTTTTTATTTGTTTGGTTCCTAGTTGTGGCAGCCAAATGTGTTTGCTCTCAAACCACGAGGAGACTGGGGGAGGGGGTACTAGTGAGTTACCAATGTTTTAATGTCACCTCTTAAGTTAGGATTGGTTTCTTGTGATAGATATTGCAATCTCATCCCATATCTTTGCAGGCCATTGCATAAAGCCAATGAAAGGATTGTGTGCTAAGCCATGGCAGATAGTTAGCACGACTACTCCAGGAACTAACAACAGTGTGAGATGATTAAGGTTTATCAGTGAGATTAAATAACCCTAGTGCAGTACCACCTCTGGAGAGATTTGCATAAACCGATTGACTTAGTGTGAGGCCAGCCCAGTGCAGGTGGAGTTGCCAATGCTTTTTCTTTGTTCCAGTCTCTGAAAGCCAAGTTTCAAAGTGAGCAGCGGTTGCTCTCCTTCTCACCTCTGGGCTCCAGATTTTCACAGACCGTGGGGTTGTCAGAGCAAATTTCCCATCCCCCCTGGATAGCTCAATTATTGGTTTCTTGTCATCAGTAGGGGTAACTGCCCTGCACCTCCACAATCACATAAGGGAGTTTGAATCACAGACAGGTGCCCCAAGGGGAATGAACCAAACAGGTAATCATCAAGTGATCCATCCCCTGTCATGGAAGTTTTCCCCTACTTCCCTATCAGTTTCAAAAACCCAGTGCAACTCTTCTGTAGCCATTCCAATTAAGTAGAGCCTTGATAAGATAGGGCAGGGTGCTTGGCACAGAGAAGTAAAATTCAAAAAGTAGGTCGACATCTGAGGCAGTGTTCAAAGGCAATGCAAGTTTATGAATATACTGTTAACTTTCCATAAACATGGATATAAACCTGAAAGTGTTTCACTTGATTTAATGTCCTGCCAACTTCAATCACTCTTTTACCCTTCTGATGCTGGTGCTGCATCTTGCTCAGCCTCGGTCCTTGGAAAACAGCTGTTAACCCTATTACCAGTACAAAAGGAAAAGGCTTAAGTTCAAAGCTCTTCTCCCTTGATGTGTACAAACACTGTGAAAGCTGTTACCATGTTTGAATGAAAGACTAACTCTAAAACGCATTAAAACTAGACATGGCGCATTTGTAATAAGTGTCTTTAATCACAATTGTTGAGCTTAGAATGACAGCTTTGATACATTTTCCGGTGAAAAGATGCTTGTTGCTAACTTGGTGCCTTTTAACCTGCTAGACAATATACAAAAATTAAATTAGCAAAGTTAATCAAACTCGTCTTTATTGTGTTTACTGAAAATGGGTAGAAAGAGGAGTTTGGTTCATCACATAATTCTCATTTTCTTTTATGCCAACCAAGATTATTTTTCCATAATCGAAACATATTTTTAACCTTTCTGTTTTGATTTCAAAGGCTTTGATACATGTTTCAGTGACATTATTTTACTTTTTCTGAAAAATGAAATGGATGAAACCAGATTCAGTGAATCTTTTAACTCTGTGGGGGACAATCTGTGTGGCAGTTCTAAGAAGGACAGCATAGATTTCACTGCCAGGGGTGCTAAAAAGACTTTAAAACATTGTAGCACCTTCCTGATCATCTGCTTGTGGGTGGGCCAGCGAGAACACCCTGCATAAGAGCTCTGGGTAGCTGTCTAGCCAACAGCAGCCTCCCAGGTTATCCTGTAGCACTGTGTGAACCCTACATGCCCTAAGACAGCAGTTCCTCTGCTGGGGCTTGGGTCCTCATGAGGCAGTCTTAGAGCTCTCTTCAACAGACCCTGCAGCACTGGAATCCCCTCCCAGCTCAAGGTAAGGATTTTAGAGGTCCTTGTATTTCTCTCGCCTTTTGACATGTCATAAGGTGATTGGACTAAGGGTGAAGAATAAACTGTTGCAATTCTGGGGTTATAATTGCTCTTCTTAATCCTTCTATGATCAGCATAAATGGTGCCCCTTCAGTCAGAGACCTCCATCCACTACTGCAATATGGACGGAGCACAGCAACCAGGGTTATAACAGTCTTTAACGGAGCTCAGCCAAGCGTCTACAACTTTATTTTAGGACAAAAGCTCCACAGAGAAAACTGTTTATTATTTTATGATCTGTCTCTATCTTTGCTATGTTCATGAGATGTCACCCTGGGACGCTGGCTGAGTCTAATCCGTCCAACCCTTGTACCCTGGTTCTTTCCCCTTGATTAGAATCTCATGATAGGTGGGGGATGAATATGAGTGTGTCCTATCCCCATTCAGGCTGAACCTTTATGCCACAAACTCTGTCTTTGTCTCTTGGGCCTCTTGAACTTGGTCTGAATGCGTATGAGCAATTTATCCTAGGGATGGCACTTTTCTGGAATTGTACATTTATCCCAGGGTAATAATTTTCCTTCCTGATTCCTGGGGAAATTTCAGTAACCCCTCGCTATGGAGTTAGCATACAGTCCCTGATTCACAAGAATACATATAATTTTTATAGATACCACCATTCATTACAAAATCTGGCCTATCTCCGTAGATTAGTTTTTTGAAGATTTCACACTTTCAGGGTATCACATCTGTCATGAGCATCTCACCCTATACGTTTGTATAACCTCTAGGCTACTTCTTCCCAGTTCTTCACTTCCTGATAGGTGTGTGCAGTATTCACAAGATGGCGTGCTCAAAATTGGCAACAAACCATCTCTAGAGAATAGCTGGGGAAGCTGGCTGAGACAAAGTTTTTTGGAGTGCTTTGATGGAAATCTACATAACTTACTAACAATTTTTAAAAAAATCTCCCCATACCTACTTTTATTGTTTGTGACTTGAAAAAAATTTTCAATAATGGCTGTATTAACTTGCTACAGTCAATCAAGTTATTGCTAATCAAGCTCTGCATTTAGCTAACAGCTGAGTTTGTGTTTTCTCACTAGAATAAATTGGCAGAGCTGGGAAATTCTGTAGCTGTATTTATCATCAAAACACATGATAAAGTAGCCCTGTGAAAAGTTGAAGTACTCCATATATAAACGTGTCATCATCTTTTTTTTAAACCAGACTAAGCAGTTCTATTAAAGGGCCCCAAAACTAAATTTCTACTGTTGGATGCTACTGCTTTACTGGTATATATACACAGCAAGAGCTAGAAAATGTTCACTTACAAAAATGATCATTGAGAAGAGTGACTGACAGTTATGGAAAGTAAGAAACTGATGCTCACCAATAGAATATTTCAAAATGTGCAATGAATACT